AAGTCTCATGGAAAACCAACCAACCAACCTATATTTCATGTTTGTTAAGTTTGTATCTGCCTTAAAAATGGAAGCATTGTGTTATTTTGCATTTGCACTGAAGGTGGATATTGTAGGTTCAATTCAGACTTTATTTCACTGAGTTAACATATGTAATTCATTTGAATTACTTATTTTAATAAGGACTTGTTTAAAAAAATTCTGGCAAATGAATGTATTGAATCTCCTCTCTTTAAATCAAGTTAAATCTCTTTTAACTAAAAACCTCTTTTTACTAACGTAGGTAAACTGCAGATAATTGAGAGGACAGTTTGAAGTCTGTATTATGTGGGGAGCCTGAACACCTTTACAAAAAACCCTAAATCTTAGTTCCTTCCCATAATATTATTATTTATACAGGAGTCCTATGCCAGTATTCCTAGTTGGCTAATTGTTATGGATACCTTGTCTTTAACTGATAACTCAAGTATCAGACTCCTTCTTTCTCTCATTTAGGTCCTAGGAATCCTCTCTATTCACCTGACACATGGGAAAAGAGAGAATATGGAGGATTGTGTGGAAGTTTATGGCCAGAGTGTCAGCAGCATATGTTGCTCCTAGATATAATCTACTCACAAGAATTCAGTGGCTCTATCTAGTTGCAAGAGAAGATGGGAAATTCCATGTTGTTGAGTGTCTAAGAAGGACAGGAAGTGGGGTGAAATATTTTTCTCTGCCATGATTGTAACATTTCATGAATTGAATTCTAAATTCGAAAACTGCAGTCATCGTGAAAAGAAGATTCTGTTTGTTTCTTCTGTTATTCTTTTTATGTTACTGGATTTTCTTTCTTTCAGATAATGGTCAATGATTCCCTGTTTTCTGATGACAATTCATATGTGACATTGACATTTGTTCGGTCCCCAGGGGGAAAGGGTGCCGTCCGACTTCGGTGGACTGTAGACGAGAAAGCTAAGGATAATCTCAGCCCTTTAAGTGGGACACTTCATTTTGATGAGGTAATGGCAGCATGAGGACTCCTGTTATATTTCTCTAATTTGATATTTATAATTTGTAGTTTCTCTAATTTTGTCTAATTTCTCTTAGCATAAATATTACTGTGAATTTATATGATAGTATTTAATACATCTGGAATATTTTGAAATTCCCTACACTGTGGGGAAAAAATATTCTTCTCTGAGGGCTGGGGTTGTGGCTCAGTGGTAGAGCACTCTCCTAGCATGCATGAGGCACTGGGTTCGATCCTCAACACTACATACAAATAAAATGAAGATATTGTTTAAAAAATTCTTCTCTGAGAGAGAAAGAGGGAGAAAACTCCCAATTCTGCTGTCAGATTGGTTAATTCACACTCTATTTCTATCCCACAGCCAACATCTTACAGTTCCTTCTCTGACTAAAGGCAAAGTTCTGAGTATGCAAAACTTTTATACTGAGAATAGGTTGATTGTGTCTCATATTAATACAATCTCGTAGATAGTCTCAGCTTTACAAATGCTTGAAATTTTTAACATCCCTGTACACTTTGAGAAAAAGATTGATATTATAGCTGCTCAGAAAACTGAATCAAGATACATAATTTAAGAATGGGAAGCCCATTACAATCCTTCCATATGTATCTCAGCCCTCTACAACAACAAGTGAAGGTGAAAGGTTCTGTCTACTTTACTTTGATGAATGAACAGGATCTCTTTGACCATATGATTGGTTTCTACAACTAGTAGAACCAGAAACTAGGGGTCGTGCTTTTTTTTTTTCTTCAGAGCTTTCACAACCAAAGAAAGAAATACAGAATTTTCTTTTGGTATACTAATAGGCGAATAATAAATTAATTAGTGATGCCCTCTGACAGACTATTTGCTCCTTAAATATTACCATTTTTGATGTATTGGTTGCTCTAATGGCATTAAATTTCAGGTGTTGCAGATATAGCATCCCTTTGTTTCTCAGAATCTAATAAGCTGTGAGTCAGGAAACATCTAGGTTGCATACCTTAGCTATGATCTGAAAATTTCTCACCTAGCATACAAAGAATTTAAAATTTAGAAATGAGTCATGAATTTCTGTGAAGGTTTTCCTTGGTAATAAAGGGCATATTTTTCTAGTTACCAGGTTCCAAATGCTAGATGTACTTCTCAGGTGATTACAAAAGGTTTCTGGTTTTGAACATCTATACCAAATGGAAAATAATGTTATATTTTCCCCTATTGGGTAAAGCCATTCCTTTTCAGAGCACAGCCTCAAGAAGGATGGATTTATTCCTGGATTTGACCCTATTTGCTAATTGTTTGTCACCAGTCTTAAACAGGTTGAAGGCTGAGTTTCCTTTATGTACAATTGTATAGCAGCACCATTGTTCTTGCATATCTAGTTCTAAGGTATCCATATCTACAGGACAGGGGTTCTAATTTGGTTTTGACAACCCCTGCAGTCTTTTCCTGGTCCTGCTTATGGCTACTACTACACAGGTGGATCTCTAATTTCACAAATAATTCTCACAGCAATGCTCACTTTGACAATTGAGATACTAGTCTACAGGGCAGCCCTAGTGGTACCACAGTTAACTGTATAATAGCTTCCTGGACTGCCTTAAAATGTACCAATGACTGTGAGAGTTACTCTTCCCCCACTTACAGGGAAATTCTCTTTGTGATCTTTTCAGTTCTTTCTTGGCACTAGAGAAGTCACTTCTGACTATGTCTTTCTGCATGAAGGATATCTGAGCCTCATATTATTACAGAAATGTGCAAGCCTCCAGGACTGATGAATGTCCACAGATGATATGTCAGTAGGTCTTTCCTGGTGAGAAAGTTATGAGATTCAGGGCCTAAAGGTTTTGGAGAGAGTACTCCTTAGATCAACATCTGTTCAAGTAGAAGCAGCAGCATTGTGCAGGGTTGAAGGCAAGCTATGATGGAGTTTTGAACTGACACTACCACACACTATAGCTTGCCTTCAAAAGGGACTAACAATTCAAAGTTTTCCTGAGTTTTAGAAGCGTTGAGTTTCATACTTTTGTGTTGTGTAAGTCACCACGAGTGAACTATGCCAGAAAGAGGATCTGACCTACAGGAGAGGTATTTCTTCAGATGAGCCAATTTCCAAAGAAGCCTGAAGATGAGAGTTGTCTGCCTGAAATACTCCCAGCACATGGGGTAATGAGTCCTTTCTTGATGGGATAAGATCTCACTGGACATCAGAAAATCTACATGGAGATCTGGGGTAGAGCCATGCTCAAGAAAAGCTTGCTCTGAGAATCTCTCCTACTGTTTTCCCTTGGTCTTCTCTGAATAAGTGTAATTTTTCTGCTAATTTTGGTTCTTTTCCCTCTACCCATTCCTGCTTCCTTCCTACCTCTTCAAAAGATTTCAATCCCAAGAATACTATTATTTCTTCCCTATCTTGTATTTCCCTTTAGCTCAATAGTTTCCTAGAAACTTTGCTTTCAACGTAGCCTGGAAGAAGTAAAATTGCCCCTGAATAAAGAACAAAGGAAAGGAAACACACAGAGAGACTAAATTTAATGCTCTGAGACATCACTGTGACACAAATAATTTTTATCTCCACCTTTTCCTTTGCATTCTGATTTTAAAAATCCCAACTTATTCTGTATATCGCTGATAAAATTTTCTGCAGCTTGGATCCTACTGTTTGTTGCTTCTGGGGAATGTTTTTTTTTTTTAATTACATTTTTTGACATTGTTATTCTTAAATAACATCTCTTATTTTTCATCTCTTCACTCATGCAGTTCTCTTTAGTGTTACTTGTACCTATTTTGTAATAGATGAACTTTTTTTCATTTTTATTTTTTCTTTTTAGATACACATGACAGCAGAGTGTATTTTGACTTATTATACATATATGCAGTATAACTTATTCAGGATCCCATTCTTGTGGTTGTACATAGTGGTGTATTCATGTATGAACATAGGAAAGTTACTTCAGATCCAATATATTCACTTTTTAAATGTTGTTAGGACTTCTAGGAAAATGTGCATTTATGCTTGGGACCTTATTAAGTGTACTCACGTGAAGTGTGTAATTCCTGGGATGTAACACATCACTCCCATCTCATTCACTCTATGCATAATGTAAATTGTAGGATCAGAATTGATGTGAAGAGGAAGAGCTGAGGAGAGTAGGACCACAACAGCTTTGCATTTTATGGCAGCCAGTTATTGTGGTAGGTGTAGTCTCTGTGGCCTGGAGTTCAGAGACCTCAGCAAATGGTCTTAATCCTCTGGTTCTCCATGTTATTTATGTTCAGGCTGGGGAATGTATATGTGCCATTTAGTCAACCCTAGATTGAAACCTCTATAAGAGAAAATTATGCCTTGAATTTAGAAACCTTTTCTCACTTTCTTTTTCCTTTGTTGTCAGTATAGGTCCCTTATGGTGTCTATATATGCATTTGAAGAAGGTGCATCTCCCCCAATCAGCCTGCTGCCAGTTTAACTTAGAAGTCCCTTCCATCCATCTTTATATTTTAATTTGTTATAAAAATATGTGTCTTCATGTAAACCTCAATCAATACAGATGGATGTGAAAAGAGTAAAATCCCCATGAATTCTCCTAGATCTTGCTTTACTACTTACCAGAGGTAACCACTATTGACAGTTTCTTATATGGCATTTCAATTTTTTTTCTGTGCATATTCAAGCATATGTATCTTATTCTTACACAAATGGAATTTCAGTCTGCAATCTGTTCTGTAACTTGCTCTTTTTACTTTAGAATTTATCTTAAGCATTTATTTTTCATACTAATGCAAATTAACTCCACTGAAGAATTGGTTATATATTTTCCACTGCATTGATTCCTGTCAGTATTTGATACTTACACCTTTCTTTGAGAGTCCTCTGTTTCACCATGGCTTTTATAGTTCTGGTATTTCTTATTTGTTTCTCTGCATTTTACATTTCTTGCTCAGTGTTCTCTTTTCCCTAGTTCCACTTTCTCAAGGATTTATGTGCTGTTGCAGTTTTCTGTCACCTATACTCATCTACTTTACTCACTTTATAGTCTTAATTCTCTTGTGATACTGGGAGTAGCCACCGAAAAAAAACGATGTAGAGTCCATAGCTAGTTAACTTTGATTCAAATCTTAACTCTTCCATTTGCTAGCATGTGATTCCAGGAAAGTTCATTAATTCTTCTCACATTTGGTTTTCTAATGCAAACCAAGGATAAGTAATGCTGAACTTGAATAAAGACTATAAGGATTACATGATGTTATGGTTGGAAAGAGGCTAACCAACCCCCTAACACTTAGAAAATGCTTTCCAAAAACCTTTAAAATAGTTTTAAAGTCATTTAGAAAAATTCTAATAAAATATCAAGTTGATACCTCAACTTAATACAGTAAAGCTCAACTTTTTTCTACATTGTATGATCAAAAATTAATGGCTTCAAATTTCAAAAAGCTGAGAAACTGTTTTTGTTTTCCTAATGTAGTTTGTAGTAGCATTTCTTGAACCACTGCTCTGTACTGCTGTTCTGCAGAATAATAATTGCTCTAAAAGATTGAGTGTTCAAATAGAGTTGGGAAACTCCAAACTGAATTAAGAAAGCTTTCCTGGTGCAATTAAAAAATTACTTGCATACATTTTGAATCTCTAATAGAGAAACTCTTCTAAATATATTTCCCCATGAAACTTCCCCATCACCTTTTATCCCAGAACATTTATATTTTGTAACTAGTGTTCCAAAAACATTGGCATTTGCTACTTGTAATCACCTGTCAGTGGTTTTTCCTATTACTTCTTGTCAATTTTTTTGAGAAATGGAGATCATACCACATGGAAACTGCCTTATATCTAGAGTAGTAAGGTGGGTGGCAACATAACTGTGTAATGATTCTTCTTGATTCTTATGATGCATGTTGATCATTATCCACAACGCTACATTTGTGAATTTGCCTGTTGACTAAAATTTATTTGTAAATCTCCAAATCAGTACTCTTGCTTCTCTCACAGTCATTTGTGGACACACAAATAGTGGTGGAAAATAAGCTTCGCCCAATGAGCACATTCCCACCTGAGGTAGAACAAGACGTGACTTTTCTTGTTTCCACTCTCATAATGTAAACAGATGTCTTTGTCATTGTCAATGTATTTCCATTTCATTTCCATTTTAATTTTCTGTTGGGGAATTCACTGTTTTAAATGGCCTCCAAGTGTAGAGCTGAAATCTTCAGTCTTCAACAAGGAGTTTGTGATATGTTATAAGGAGAAAATATTGTTTTGTGTTAGAAAAGCTATTCAAGTCTGAGTTGCAGTGCTTATTTAAAATGAAAAATATGTTAAAATGACTCAGAGTTTTTGCCAGTGTGCACATCTCTGCAAATGACCATAAAAGTGCCTGAACACTGATTCTGGGGTTACAAAAAAAAAACTGGTTGAGCAGGCAAATGTGTAAATAGGGATTACAAAAATTATGAGCGCTAACTATATTTTCAACCAATAGCACCTCAGAGAAATTACTGTAAATACAAAGAAGCATGTAGAAGAATGTTCGTGGTAATATTATTTACAACAGTTAATAGTCCTTATTAGATAAATGTTGAAAATATTGTAAATGCAAACAGTGGACTGTCCACACCAATTAAAAGGTTAAATTAAATCTGCATGCAGAAATGTGGATGACTTTAATAGTATATACTGAAAGAAAAATTAAGAAGCAGAAACAATGCATTTAAGAGTGAGTGACAGGATGAGGACGGATTTGAAAAATGGTATTTAAAGGGCAGAAGCCAGGTACTTTGGTGAGCACCTGTAATCCCAGCTACTCTGAAGGCTGAGATGAAAGGAACACTTGAACTCAGAAGACCAGCCTGGGCAAAATAGTGAGACCCCAGGTCAGAAACAACAAACAGGGCATGGTGGTGCACAACTATAATCTCAGCTACTTGGGAGCCTGAGGCAGAAGGATCACCAAATTCAAGGCCAGCCTCAGAAACTTAGGAGACCGATTTCTCAAAAATTTAAAAAGTGCTGCTGACGTAGCTTAATGGTAAAGTATCCCTGAGTTCAAATCCCCAGTGCCAAAAAGCAAAATAAAATGAACAAAAGAAATGGACAGATAAAGGACAAAGACTAAATAGAAATAAAAGGCCATCCATTGTCCAATGGAAATAGTGCTGAAGGCTGAAGACCAGAAGAGGATCAATACAAAATGTGCTCCTAAGATTCAGGACAAAAACAAAAAGAATGAAACATAAAATCAGTAATAGTCTGTGCCAAGCATGGTGGTATGCATAGGTAGTTCCATCTACTTGGGAAGCTGAGGTGAGAAGTTCTGTTGAACCCAGGAGTTCAAAACTAGCCTGGGCAACATAGCAAGACCTTGAAACCTCATCTCAAAAACAAACAAACAAACAAATAGGATTCCTGTGTTTTAACAACAAGGGGAAAAAATTATAAGAAAACAGGATGCATTCAGCAAGAAACAAGTGGAACATATAAGAACAAAGGAAAACAAAATCTGAAAGGTGAAGATTAAAAAAAAAAACCTTGAAATGTGTATATAAAATTCCAGGTTCCTGGATGGAAGCACTAGATTTTCCTTATGAATTAGGCTCCTGTATTGCTGCCTGTGGTACTATTGTTAACCAGGAAGGTGCCAGAGATAACTTAACATTGACAATAGGCCATTAGAAGAATGTCAGTGATAATTAACTACAGCAAGTGTCTCTAGCCTATCGATTGCAGCTGTGACTATAATCTCAGGTCATCCATTGCTTGTTTTTCTTCTTGAATGGAGCCAACTCCCCTTACAGATATTAAATCTGTGACTTTTTACAGTTTACATTATGATGTAACCATTTGTCCTCTAAAAGATTGAACTCCAGTATTGAAATTTTTCAGTAAATTTAGGAGATGAGAGATGAGTTAATTTTTTAAATTTTTTCCTATTAAGAGCATAAATGGAATTTATAGTTAGAGTTGACTTTTTTGTATAATAATTCTCCCTAGATGCAACCCTTATTCTAGGCAACAGAAAGGACTGAAAAAGTGATTATACGCATAAACCTTATTCTGCTAATAAAAACACTCAAAGTTTGACTTTGGTCAATCTGGAAGATTTATTTTTCTTCTCATTTGCTATAGATGGAGTCTCAGAAGACCATTGAATTGCATGCACTGCAAGACACCATGCTGGAAAATGACAGGCATTATACAATTCACCTGTTACCAATTGATGAGGTAGAAATATCTCCCGCAAAAGGTAAGAAAAATTTTAGAAATTAAAAAGTAGATTAAAGCAGATAATTAGTAGTTACATAGATAGGCAATGTTAGGTTTTCTAATTCCTAAAATTTTGCTAAAACATAAAGATGTACTCAGGTAAGTACACTTTTAAATTAACATTATAATACCCCATGTTGGTAAGACAGGTCAGATTTCATACTGCTCAGCTGTGACTTTTTAAATAAAACATTTTTATGAAGCAACATTATAAAATTAATTATGGTAGCTTCCTAAATGATGTGATATTAGGAGACTGGTTAAATGTGGCAGAATGCTATGCAATCATTCAAAATGATGTGGCAGAGAAACAACTACATTGAAAATGAATAATTGTTATGGTAATAAAGTAGGTTTCAGAACAACATGCTCAATGTAATCCCATTTTTGTCATGTGCTTTCTTTCTTTTCTTTCCTTTCCTTTCCTTTCCTTTCCTTTCCTTTCCTTTCCTTTCCTTTCCTTTCCTTTCCTTTCCTTTCCTTTCCTTTCCTTTCC